CATATACTAGCAATACCTAGTATGCTTCGCTACATTCACTTAACTACCAACATAAGAACCTATTCATTTAATTGATGTGGGAGGTGTTACTCCCACTAATGCAAGTTCACCAAAATTTCCAAATGTTTAAGTGGATTTTAATGTTGTCCGTGCAAAATTTGAGGATTGTAGCTGTAAAGGTTTCCCAGATGTACGAATTTTTATACATGCCACGCCCTCTATTGCTAATCCGCTAATTTATTACCAAAATGTTTACATACATGAAGAAGTTGTTCGTGCAAAATCCTAAAGGATTCTAACTCCAATTCAAAGGATTCTAATTAATAATATGGGAGGTGCCACGCCCCGTATTACTATTCCAGCTACTTTTACTCAAAAAGTTCATATGGATTTCAACGTTGTCCGAGCAAAATTTAACGATTCTAACTCCAATAGTTTTTCAGAATTGAGAACTTTTGTCTACTCTAATGGATTCCAAGATATACGAATGTATATCTTATATATATATGTATTTATATGGGAGGTGTCACGCCTTCTTTTGCTAGTCCGCCTATTTTATCTTAAATATTCATAACGATACTAAAGTGGCTTTGACAACATTTTAGGACTCTAAGTGTTATATTTTCTCTGATTTACAGATTTAGTATTTTCTTTAGATGGAAGGTGCTACGCCTACTACAGCCAGCGCGTCAGTACGTTGTTGCAGTTTCTGAGATATGCGAGTTTTAATGCTTTAAGTTTCGAAATAAAAAGTAGTTTTAGTACCTTTCAGAAATACAGAAATACAAATACAGTACCTTTCAGAAATACAGACACTCTGAAATTTTCAAAAAATAACAAATCAGCCTCTCAACTGTCAACAGACTACAAACAAATAAACACACACTAATTTTTATATATATAGATAAAATATAAATAATCTTTATATTATAAAACAATACATACACATTTATATTTACATCTATTTCATAATCTTTATTTGTCTTAAAGGGTCATAACTCAAAATTAAAGTTTTCTAACTAAATAAAACAAAAAATTTTTTTCATAAAACTTTTAGCTGTTTTTGGTATAAGTAAGATTTTTTTAATATTAATATTAAATAAGTTTTATGTTAATGTTTTAAAATAATACTTAAGATTTTTTGAGTTAAGACACTATCGTATAAGTGTGTGGCTATTTAGTGATATGTATTTATGTATGTGGCTATTTGTCTGCCTTCGCTTTTTTTTTGTATGTTTATGACAAACATTAATTTTCATAAATATTATAAACAAAAGTATTTAGTTTAATTAAAACGCATTATGGAGTTTGTACCTAAGTAACTATAACAAATAATTATTATTATTTATGTAATATTTTCTAAATGAAAAGTAAAGAAAAACCTAATGAAGGACATTGCAATTGCTGGTAATGTAAATACATACAAATAAAACATATTACATATATATGTATGTGTAAATCGTATTAACAACGACTTTTCGAATACAAACGAACAATTTTGAATGTTTCCAATATTCTACTTTGAAAACCTTTTTCGCCCTTTTCAGAATTTTGTTTTTATTTATTTAAAGAAAATTGTAAAATCGCCTACGAAGTTCTAAGTTTGGAAAATTGGATTTATGAATTTGTTTATGCCTTAGTATTAGTACATAGTTATAGTATGTGTAATTTTGTGTGTTTAATATTTACTTTGTATTATGATTGTATTGTAATTTATTATTACAAATTCACTATCATTTTAGTATATGAATATGTATGTATTTGTATTGTTAAATAAACACCCAAAAGAAATCCATCATAACTTTAAAGTTATACACAGAGGGGAAAAAATATACAAGCCTGGTACCAAATTGACACCAAATTTTTCAATAACATCCGTTGTCAAGTATATACATACGTACAACAACACTATGTAATGTTAACAACGCAACGTTGTCAACATTGCAACAATTCGTTGTCTAAAAGTTAACAAACGTTGTAAGCTCGTTATTGACAACGGATTTTGAGCTTACCACGCTTGTTAACTTTTAGACAACGGATGTGTATAAAATTTAGATTGTTACAATGAATTGTTACAATGTTGACAATGTTGCGTTGTCAACATTGCATAGTGTTGTTGTACGTATGTATACACTTGACAACGGATGTTATTGAAAAACTTTTCGTCCAACTAAACCTACTTACAGATGTTGTAGTCTATCTGTAATGAGATCGTGGGTTAGATTTCGACCAAAGGCTCTGACAAGGGAAAGCATAACAGACCTCATTGTGGCTAAGGTGTATATCTTTGAAACACATAATAGACCACATATTGACCTAGGTGTACTTCTTAGGACCTGATATGACATTTTCATAAAGCACTATAAGGGCGAAATAATCAATTGTAAATGTATAAATCTTTTGCAATAGATTTTAATTGTATTATTAATATAATTTCAAAGTCATATTTTCACAATAAGTGACTATGTATGTTTAAACATTTTTACAAAATCCCAAAAAAAAATCAGATTCAGTTGTCTTTAACATTAATTTATTGATATTTATTTAAATATAGAAATTTATGTTTGTATAAATAGAAGCATAGAAATGTACATAAAAGAATTATTATAAATTTCTGTTTGGTATTTTATAAACATAATAATAATAATAAACCTTTGGCTAAATCTAAGCAAAACATGAGAAATGCATTCATTAAACTAACAAAAATTATAATGTACACAAATGGATTCAAATCAATAGCCAACAACCAGTAACTATATATACGAGGGTGGTGCAAAAAAGTGATCTATTAAGCAATATGCAAACTACTTTGATAAAAAACGAAATCAATTATTTTCGAATATTGAAAAAAAAAATTATCTAGATAACTTATAAGAAAATCTCGCTGTTATAAGATCCAATTTTTGTAAATTCATTACTTAAACTTCACACTCAACCTGCTTAAACAAATTTATTGTTTTATTTAAATTCTCTTGTTGTATATGTACGAATAGTATTCATATGTTAACATTATCCACTTATTAGGCTTAAAGGTAAAATTTTGTTTTTCCTCGTACATACATATTTTGTTTTTTAATTTACTAGATTCTCATACCCAATACGTCTATGCCTTTAGGAGGTAATAACATCAACTACATGCATACGAGTAATACGTACATGCACATACAAATTAATATATCCTTGTATCACCGTCGTCCGTACACGAACATTAACATGGACGTGTATTGCGAGTGGCGAGATTGTGTGAGTATGTATAATACGCATTTGTGTATGTACATATATGTATGTATGTCCGACAATATACCATTAAGATCGGACATTTTATATGCCTTTAGCTAAATTATATACCCAGTAGGAAATTTGGCGATTTTCTAAACTTAATGAAGAAAATTTTCGATTAATATTCTTTAAGAGAAAATTGTGAATATTTTTTTTATAGAAAATTTTCGAAAAATTTTTTATTCGATGAAAAATATCCTTAAATTTTCTATTTCGAAAAAAATGTCGTTAAATATGTACAAAGAAATTTTCCAAAAAAGAAAATCTTCCGAAAGTAGAAGTGGCGGAAACTAAAAAAAATCGCACGGGGTTGCTTTTATATAAATATGACAACGTGTGCTGGTATTGGTTGCTTGTTTGTTTGGTTTTGTTTTCATTTGTGACATATTCTCACACACACATACACACTTATGTACACGAATAAACGGTTAACCCCTTTAAACAGGTACAAATATCCTTTTCTATGAATTTATATTAAAGAAAATCTTTGTATTTATTTGTTGTTAGTATAAATTTTGCCTTTTTTGTATGTTTAAGTGTAAATAATGTATGACATTTTCTATATGTTTGAATCTAACGAACTAATACTATCATATATTAGCAATGCTAAAATACACATTTAATCAATGGGGAGGCTCCAGTTTTAAATGAAACAAAACTAGCGTGTGACTCTTTATAATTATAAAACCGTATTACCCAGAAATATTAGTATCTCAGAATCATACTGTATAGGAAAGAAGAACAAATGTTCTGGTACCCTACTATTAATTGTTGTCCTTCTTAAGGCATTAGTTGTAGATAAATTAATGTTGCTAATTTATTTTATGCATAAATTTAAACACAAATAATTAAACTTTAACTTTCTACAGAAACAGGCAGACTTACATGCTAGATGCATTAACGGTTAAACCTATTTTTCAATCTGTTGTTTGTACTTTCATCTTAGATATTAATCATTATGAAATTTATGTTTGTAAGTGTGCAAATAACTTATGTGTATTTAATATTTTTGGCAAAATTTAAATTAGAAAATTTTATAAGTAAATAAGCAAAAAGGATTTATTTGCAAGTATTTACATAAATAAACAAGAGTTAACAACAAATTACAATATTTTTTTTCAAATATGTAGTATGTATGTATAAGTGTATTTTCAATTAAGCAGCAAATATTAACTAAGGCGTATAAGTATTATTATTTTAAATTAATATTAAGTATACGTATAGGTGGTAGATGTTTTTAAGTATTTTTGTGCTTTATTTAACAATTAAGGTTTAAAATTAGTTATTATTTTAATATTTAAAGGCATTTAGATATACTACTTATAAAATGTTGGCAGAAATTAACTAAGATTTTACTAGTAAAATTAGGCCCTATACAAGCCTATTATAATTTTTACAAAATTCTTATTTAAACTAACTAATTAAAGAAAATGTTTTCTTTCTCTCTTTCTTTTTTCTTTATATGCAACTTTTAACTATAACCTGCTCACTGCTGCTTGCATCTTAAACAAAAAAAAAAACTGCTGTGCTCTTGGTAAATTGATACAAAAACAAAATCTGAAACGTATCATTATTATTTACCACTACTACTACCTTTGCAACATACTACTACTGCTGTTGCTGCTGCTGTTGAAACGACAACAACTGATGCTGTTATATGCTGTGCATTGTACTGTATTGTGTATAATTATCTCAATATAATGCATATATAATAATAACAGGTTTCCGATACAGTTGTTGAACCATACAATGCCACATTGTCGATTCATCAACTTGTCGAAAATACCGACGAAACATTTTGTATTGACAACGAAGCATTGTATGACATCTGTTTCCGTACATTGAAGCTGTCATCGCCAACCTATGGAGATTTGAATCATCTTGTTTCTGTAAGTCGCAATCTCAAACTAATAGATTTTTTCCCCCTTTCTCTTTTTCTCTTTCATTACTTTGCACTTGCATTGTGGAATATGATTTATGGAATGCACGCGCCATGCCATCATCATCATCCGCATCATACGACAACCGCTAACTCAAACGTTAATGCGGCTTGGTAAAACAAAAATATGTATACTTTGCAACCATACAATACGTTAATGGCAACAATAACAACCACCACGAATTGATGATTAAACTGTTGTTGCTGGAATTTGGAAAAATACAAATGGATTATGTTTTCTTCTTTTTTATTGTTTTCAACCTACATTTTTCTACACTCGTCCGTTGCAATGGTTGGTTAAAACATGTGTTTCTATATGTGTGTGGCCTTGAATGTACGAATGATATCTTGTTCTTGGAACACGCTTAACCATCATTAACATCATTACCAACAACATTGACAATACAAACAACGACAATGGTGATGATAATGAATACAACTACATACATATGTACATTAATACATACAAACATTTACATGTGCGTGCATTTTTGTACTGGTGTTGTGTAAACATCATTACGACCATGAATGTATTTAACTGTGTGTGTGTATGTAAACTTCTGAATGTTGCGATTGCATTTTGGTAAATGTGTGAATCAACACAAACAAATGCATAAATGAATGAATGAATAAATCGTGGGATATAAATACATACTTACACTCATACCAAAACATACACAATCTCAAATGAATTTGATTTCCTGTAACGGTACTTGCAATGAAATAAATGAATGTTAAATGTTTGTACACACACACACATATGTACATTTGTTAATATTTGCTTATTTCATTCAAACCCAACAAAAAAACACCACACATACAAACAATGACCCTCTACACCTACTCTAACTATCCGCTGACAACTCCTTTCCCGAATACACTTAATGCGCTCAGGTGTCAGAAGTTGTTGTTGAACCCTACAATGCCACATTGTCGGCCCATCAATTGTGTGAAAATACAGATCTGACATTCTGCATCGATAATGAGGCGTTGTATGATATTTGCTATCAAAGCTTACGTTTCCCCTCACCCACATATGAGGATTTGAATCATTTGGTGTCCGTAAGTAGTTAAATGCGTGCATAACATTTACTTTGCTTCCAGTTCTCTTCTTTTGGATGGATGGTTGGATGATTGGATGGATTTGTTCAATAGCGAGACACGGTTGTTTTCGAAACCAGAAACGACCGTTATTTTTTCTAATTATGCACAAATGTATTTTGTATGCGCTTAACAATCGTACAAATTTCAGTGGAATGAAAATCTATTGAAAAACATGCAAGGCAATACTTTTGCTATCAACCAAAAGAGGCTTAATTCGTAGATATTTGTATTTTTTTAGAAAACATTAATTAACATTAATTGTTGTAAGATTTTAAATTTTGGAAACTATAAAAAACCTTCTTCTATAGACTAGACTATAGACTAGACTATAGACTAGACTATAGACCAGACTATAGACTAGACTATAGACTAGACTATAGACTAGAATATAGACTATAGACTAGACTATAGCCTAGACCAGGGGTCGGCAAACTATGGCTCGCGAGCCAAATGCGGCTCTTTGGATGTGGAGCTGTGGCTCTTTAGTTTCATACACATTTTATTTATTTTATAAAAAAATATTTATATATTTAAAAATTTTTCGGAATCGATTAAAGAGCAGTGTATTGATACTAACAAAACAATTCGCAAAAGTTTCTACAATATACATACACAACTTTTTAACTTAATCGTTCTGTACATGAACGAAACAAAAACATATACTTTTTAAGTGAGAAAGAAAGAAAACTACACAATTAGCTTTTCGCTCATTTCCTTGCTTTTACAATCGTACATTTGAGAATAAATCCTCATTGAACCATTTGGAATTGGTATTGGATCTCTAGAAATGCAAAGTTTAAAAGCAAGTTGGAAGAGTAAGGTAAAAAGCCAACTAATAAATGAAAATTTAGAGTCATTTTTGAAACTTTAAACAACAAGTTATGATCCAATCTAAAGCCATACAAACCTATCACTCCCATTGAATTTGTTCCATGTACAAGTTAATATTGTAAAAAAATTTTTAATTCTTTAAAGTGTTAATTGAAAAGTTACTAAAAACAAACAAACACCTACGAAGTGCAATTAAATAAGATGTAGAACATGATCATACATTCCGACATTTTCGTGTTTTTCGAATTAAAAGATATTTTTTGGACATTTAAAATGTAGTAACTAATTTATGTGGAGAGTTTGGACACAGTTAAATACTAAAAACTTGGTCTATTTGAAAACTTTAATCTTTTTTTAAAGAATTTTATATTTTTTGAACGCTTTCTATAAAAAGGTGCCAAAAAATTAAAAATTTTTAAATATTGCACGTTTTAATGACAGTGATCTCTGAAAGATTGATATATTTTTTGCATAAAATTTTTGTCTATAAATAAATAATTGACCAGAAAGCGTATTATGGACCCATCCTTACCCATCCTATGAAACTTGTTTGTGTTGATTTTCATCACTATCCAGCAAAAAAAGACGTGCAAAAAAAGTAGTAAATGCATGGGTTGAACTGATAATGAACTGGTTCATATTTGGGGGAAACATGCATGATTTTAACATTAGCGTGTCATTGGCATGCATGGGTTCGTATTTGCAAAAATAGTTCGTCATTTAAATGAGTTCTTATAACCAATGAATATTCGATGATTCTCAAGCGAATTTTCATTGGTGCACTACATTTATTTAAAAATGAATTAATGGTATTTCGATTTAATTATCAATATTTAAATAATTTTTTTGAGTAATATTGACAAAAATAGAATAAGATAAAACATAACTAACTGATTTTGATTGGATTTAAATTCATGCAGAGGAAAAATACCCATTGTGTTTTAAAATCCGTTAAGCAGTCTTGGTTTTTTCCTTCTCTTATTAATGGACTTAATATTACTAATTTTAATGGACTTAATATTACTAATTTTAATGGACTTAATATTACTAATTTTAACAAAAATCTAATAAAAAAATTAATATCATTTTTAATCTTTATTGTATGAAATGCATGTTTTCGTTAAATCTCATAAGAGAATACCAAATTACAGTAAAATATTACAATTCCTATAGTGGAGTTACATGAGTGAATTTGGGTGCATTTTTCATGCCTTCACTGATGACAAATTTATTAGAATTTAGGCATGTATTTAAAACGCATTAAATAGAATACTTACTAAAGAAATCATGAAAATATCCCTTCTTCTTTAACAACTTCAAAATTTTTTTGCTGGTTATACTTGTATTTTAGACTGTTGTTATTTTTTTGTTCTTATAAACTTGTTTATGACGAATTTCACCACTATGCTAGTATTGCCTGTTTTGAGCGTTAAAGCGTGGGGATCTAATATGGGGGATAGGATCAATTATGAGCCGATCATCACCAAATTTGGTTAAGTTATTTTTGTTCCTGTTTGTGTTGAATTTCGTCATAATACTGCTATTATTAAGCCAGTTCTGATTGTTAAATTAAAATTTGGAAGATAGATTTTTGTTCTTATACAACTTGTTCTCATACAACTTGTTTATCTCAAATTTCGTCGCTATACTGCTACTGTTAACCGTCTTGTCTATACCCGAGCAAAATTACGTACATCAATACCCAACATACCCGGGTATGTCATACAATTTATATTGCTATTTCATCTTTTTATACATTTCTAGTGTATAATTCAGATAATTGTTGAAACTAATTTAATAAAACGTCTGCTAGCTTTAAAGAAATTGTTTTTGCTTTCGTAAGAAGGGAACTTTTTTGCAAAAAAAAGATTGCTGTCATGGTCAAAAATTTAAATTTTAAAATTTAAACTTAAATATTTTTGTTTATATGAGAAAAAAATTATTATAATCAGCATAATTTTACTTTACTAAGTCATATACAATAAAAAAAATTATTTCATCAAAATCGGCGCATATTTGTTAATGTTACAAGGTCCACAAATATTTCACATTCAAAATTATGAATAAAGACACATGACTCTGTATTTGAAACTAAATTTGTTGTTCAGTTCAATTTTTTTTCATAAGATACAAGAATATATATAATTCTAAAACTAAAACATAAAATTTATAAAGAAACTTAATTTTTTCCGATAACTGACATATAATTTGTATACATACCGGGGTATGTTGGGTATTGATACACGAGGTAAAAATAGAAAATCGGTCATAAATCGGTTTAAAATATATATATCTAACTAATTTTTGGAAAATGTATAGAAAACTTTACTCTGAAAGCATAGTCCAAATTACAAGCCGATAAAAAATATAGACCTCGAGATATATCACTTCAAAAATGAAAAACATACACGGGTATGTGGGTATTGACATAACGGTTAAGTCAATTATGATCGTTAGAGTAATTTTTTTAAAGGGGCCTTATATTTCGGTTCGAATTATGGTTCGATGTCCGCAATACATCACATAAAAAACTTGTGCAAAATTTTATATCGATTGCTGCCTAATTAATATACATAACTATGACACTTTATACTGTATTATGGCAAATGCCTTTTAAATGATATCACTGTCGCCCCACTCTAATAAACTTTTATATCTTTATATAACAAGTGTTAAAAACGCATTCGAGTGACCCACAAAAATTCATTTGTAATGTTTTAATAAACAAACATTTTGTGGCTCTTTTAAAACCCATGTTTTGTGAACTGTAAGTTTTGGCTCTTCCGACTCAAAAGTTTGCCGACCCCTGGCCTAGACTATAGACTAGACTATAGACTAGACTAGACTAGACTAGACTATAGACTAGACTATAGACTAGACTATAGACTAGACTATAGACTAGACTATAGACTAGACTACAGACTAGATTATAGACTAGACTATAGACTAGACTATAGACTAGACCATAGACTAGACTAGACTATAGACTAGACTATAGACTAGGCTATAGACTAGGCTATAGACTAGACTATAGACTAGACTATAGACTAGATTATAGACTAGACTATAGACTAGACTATAGACTAGACTATACACAAGACTATAGACTAGACTATAGACTAGACTATAGACTAGACTATAGACTAGACTATAGACTAGACTATAGACTAGACTATAGACCAGACTATAGACTAGACTATAAACTAGACTATAGACTAGACTATAGACTAGACTATAGACTAGACTATAGACTAGCCTATAGACTAGACTATAGACTAGACTATAGACTAGACTATAGACTAGACTATAGACTAGACTATAGACTAGACTATAGACTAGACTATAGACTAGACTATAGACTAGACTATAGACTAGACTATAGACTAGACTATTAGACTAGACTATAGACTAGACTATAGACTAGACTATAGACTAGACTATAGACTAGACTATAGACTAGACTATAGACTAGACTATAGACTAGACTATAGACTAGACTATAGACTAGACTATAGACTAGACTATAGACTAGACTATAGACTAGACTATAACTAGACTATAGACTAGACTATAGACTAGACTATAGACTAGACTATAGACTAGACTATACTAGACTATAGACTAGACTATAGACTTAGACTATAGACTAGACTATAGACTAGACTATAGGCTAGACTAGACTATAGACTAGACTATAGACTAGACTATAGACTAGACTATAGACTAGACTATAGACTAGACTATAGACTAGACTATAGACTAGACTATAGACTAGACTATAGACTAGACTATAGACTAGACTATAGACTAGACTATAGACTAGACTATAGACTAGACTATAGACTAGACTATAGACTAGACTATAGACTAGACTATAGCTAGACTAGACTATAGACTAGACTATAGACTAGACTATAGACTAGACTATAGACTAGACTATAGACTAGACTATAGACTAGACTATAGACTAGACTATAGACTAGACTATAGACTAGACATAGACTAGACTATAGACTAGACTATAGACTAGACTATAGACTAGACTATAGACTAGACTATAGACTAGACTATAGACTAGACTATAGACTAGACTATAGACTAGACTATAGACTAGACTATAGACTAGACTATAGACTAGACTATAGACTAGACTATAGACTAGACTATAGACTAGACTATAGACTAGACTATAGACTAGACTATAGACTAGACTATAGACTAGACTATAGACTAGACTATAGACTAGACTATAGACTAGACTATAGACTAGACTATAGACTAGACTATAGACTAGACTATAGACTAGACTATAGACTAGACTATAGACTAGACTATAGACTAGACTATAGACTAGACTATAGACTAGACTATAGACTAGACTATAGACTAGACTATAGACTAGACTATAGACTAGACTATAGACTAGACTATAGACTAGACTATAGACTAGACTATAGACTAGACTAGACTAGACTATAGACTAGACTATAGACTAGACTATAGACTAGACTATAGACTAGACTATAGACTAGACTATAGACTAGACTATAGACTAGACTATAGACTAGACTATAGACTAGACTATAGACTAGACTATAGACTAGACTATAGACTAGACTATAGACTAGACTATAGACTAGACTATAGACTAGACTATAGACTAGACTATAGACTAGACTATAGACTAGACTATAGACTAGACTATAGACTAGACTATAGACTAGACTATAGACTAGACTATAGACTAGACTATAGACTAGACTATAGACTAGACTATAGACTAGACTATAGACTAGACTATAGACTAGACTATAGACTAGACTATAGACTAGACTATAGACTAGACTATAGACTAGACTATAGACTAGACTATAGACTAGACTATAGACTAGACTATAGACTAGACTATAGACTAGACTATAGACTAGACTATAGACTAGACTATAGACTAGACTATAGGCTAGACTAGACTATAGACTAGACTATAGACTAGACTATAGACTAGACTATAGACTAGACTATTGACTAGACTATAGACTAGACTATAGACTAGTCTATAGTCTAGTCTATAGTCTAGACTATAGACTAGACTATAGACTAGACTATAGACTAGACTATAGACTAGACTATAGACTAGACTATAGACTAGACTATAGACTAGACTATAGACTAGACTATAGACTAGACTATAGACTAGACTATAGACTAGACTATAGACTAGACTATAGTAGACTAGACTATAGGCTAGACTAGACTATAGACTAGACTACTAGACTATAGACTAGACTATAGACTAGACTATAGACTAGACTATAGACTAGACTATAGACTAGACTATAGACTAGACTATAGACTAGACTATAGACTAGACTATAGACTAGACTATAGACTAGACTATAGACTAGACTATAGACTAGACTATAGACTAGACTATAGACTAGACTATAGACTAGACTATAGACTAGACTATAGACTAGACTATAGACTAGACTATAGACTAGACTATAGACTAGACTATAGACTAGACTATAGACTAGACTATAGACTAGACTATAGACTAGACTATACTAGACTATAGACTAGACTATAGACTAGACTATAGACTAGACTTAGACTATAGATAGACTAGACTATAGACTAGACTATAGACTAGACTATAGACTAGACTATAGACTAGACTATAGACTAGACTATAGACTAGACTATAGACTAGACTATAGACTAGACTATAGACTAGACTATAGACTAGACTATAGACTAGACTATAGACTAGACTATAGACTAGACTATAGACTAGACTATAGACTAGACTATAGACTAGACTATAGACTAGACTATAGACTAGACTATAGACTAGACTATAGACTAGACTATAGACTAGACTATAGACTAGACTATAGACTAGACTATAGACTAGACTATAGACTAGACTATAGACTAGACTATAGACTAGACTATAGACTAGACTATAGACTAGACTATAGACTAGACTATAGACTAGACTATAGACTAGACTATAGACTAGACTATAGACTAGACTATAGACTAGACTATAGACTAGACTATAGACTAGACTATAGACTAGACTATAGACTAGACTATAGACTAGACTATAGACTAGACTATAGACTAGACTATAGACTAGACTATAGACTAGACTATAGACTAGACTATAGACTAGACTATAGACTAGACTATAGACTAGACTATAGACTAGACTATAGACTACACTGTAAACTGTAGAGTATTTTATGCCTGGACTTGTCCCACTCCTACCCCTTTACTTGTTTTAATTTTTATATTATTTACATACTTTTTCAATCATTATCAAATAACATGCCTCAAGCACTGAACTTTTCATTTCAATTTTATTTCAATTCAAACAGTTCGACATTAAAATTTAAATTGACAAGGCAAAAACAAAAAGAATGTTGCCAATAACAAACATTAACAGTGGTGAGCAAAAAAAAAAACAAATCATACAGACTTGTCAATAAGATATGACAATAAATGTGTCTATACTGTTTATGAACTTGGTCAGTAGGCTTGTTCATAAAGCAGTCCACAGAATCAAGGGACTAGTCAGTTAACTGGTGCTTAGAATAGTAAACATACATACTACTCAACTGTCAAGTAATTCAGCTGCAAATTTTGTGCAGATGGTCATAGCACTGTGCTCTTCATTTATTTCAGTTTTATGTAGCACTGTATGCATTTTTCTACATATGTATGTTCGTTTCAACGATACATAAATTTATGTGCATTAGGTTGATTCCAGAAAATTTAAGTAATTTTTATATTAGCAAAATGCTCAGAAGAAATTGGCAACAGCACGATATATAATCAATATTTAGTTATATTTTATAGAAACAATAGAATGACAGTTTTCCTAGAAAAACTATTTTTAACATTAGAATATCTACCTCTATCTAATCGAAGGTTTACATAACGCGCTTTAGACTGTTTGAAACTGGTTTATACCAACAGTTATCAGTTGCAAATTTCGTATTATTTTGCAAAAATTCTAAATATTATTAAGCTATAATAAAGAGAATAAAATGCCTTTGTATTAATATATAAAAATTTAATTTTCTTACAAATTATGTCACCCTAATGTATATATATTTGCAATAGTCAACCAGTATTTTGTTTATATGCACCTTGTCGTTTTTGTGGCCAAAAACTTTTTCGACAAATTGATCAATTTAATTTTCATTTCATTTTTTTGTTTTTGGTTTTTCAATTTGACTGTCATGTTCAGTTTGATTACTTCCTTATTAAGATTGTTTATTAGAAAATGTCAATTGCAAATGACAATTTAATCGACTTTTAATAATTGAAACTCATTGTTATTCATTGGAGGCAAGCGATTTGGGGTGGCAGTTGGAAAATAAGTAATTATATACCTATTAAAATAGAAAAAACAATAAATTTAGCAAGCTATTTAAGAAAAACAATTATCCTTTTTCAAAAGGAAATACCTTTAAACAAAAGCTATTTTAATATCTTCGAAAAAAAAACACCCATCCGAAATAAGGAACAATAATTATAAATTCCAAACAAATACACAATATATTTTGCCAAATTAAACATAATTAATAATGAAATTTGTTTAAACACTCAAACATCTACAAGTAAAGCCCGAGGAAGAGAAGGAGTTTACAACACGTTATTAAATGGCGCGTGCATTTTATACTATATAATTAATAATCTTAAAATGTTTCCTTTAAAGGACAATCATTTGTAGTTTTGAATTAAAATTTCATAGCTCATAAAATCATATTTATCTTTCTTTTTCCGCTTCCCCCTCATTTCCAACACCACTACCATCCACCAACCATTGTCACATCTAACAGGTTACAATGTCTGGCGTTACCACCTGTTTACGTTTCCCCGGTCAATTGAATGCTGATTTGCGTAAATTGGCTGTTAACATGGTACCATTCCCACGTTTGCACTTCTTTATGCCTGGTTTTGCACCATTAACCGCCAAGGGTTGCCAACAATATCGTGCTTTAACTGTAGCCGAATTAACCGCTCAAATGTTTGATGCCAAGAACATGATGACTGCCTGTGATCCCCGACATGGACGTTATCTAACCGTGGCCACTATCTTCCGCGGTAAGTTGTTTGACAGTGAAATACATTTTTAATTAAAATTTTATTTTATTTTTAATATTTATTAAGTATTACATTTGAGTTATATTCAAACAATTAATCCTTTTTGATTAATGACTGTGTACATTTGCGCCATTCAGGCAATGTTTTTACGCTCCTGCAATTTCTTTTCATGTCAAAATAAATTGCCTTAAAATGTTGAGGATTAAAGTGAATGTATTAAACTGATTAGTAAAATTATACGTTTACTTGTAAATATTTATAATTTAACATATACACATACATACATATTAAGGCTTAATTTAACATGGATTTTCTGGTACAAGATTTTGATTTCTTTTTCGTTGATTTATTTGGGATTTAGTTTAAAATCAGAAAGACATTATTAATTATTTTGTTAAGATTTTGTTGCTGTTAATCTAAGTACTTAGTTCCAGCAATTGAATTTGCTTTCACAAATGAATTGTTATTACTAGGTCTGGAAATTCGAAATAATAAAGTAATATCGAAATAAATTTTCTCTAGTATTTAGGTTTTGCAAACTATAGCATTTACAAGATTTGCAAAGTAGTTTAGTTTTAAGAATACAATGTGGAGAACATACAAAACCCAATTGCAATGAGTTTATATATTGCAATTTTATCAGTTTGAGTCGTTGTAAATATTTTTTTTTGTCTTTTAAGCAAAGCATATAAACAACACTTGCAAGGCTTGTAAACATGTAACTTATAAGCGTTAATGTTTGCTTTATAACTCCTACAGATTTGAATTTTATTTAGATTTATTTGCAGTGGTTTTAAGTATTGCAAATACTCAAAATATTTAATTTTGAAAGACTTATTTGCAATGTCTGCAAGTATGGCAAATTTTACGATAATCTAATTTAAAGTCAGGAAGTGTCATCCAACTTGGTAAATGTGTTATCCAACTTGGTAAATTAAATTAGAATAAATAAATAATTTACAATGTTTGCAACATTTAGAATTCATAATTAGACAAGAATTTTTTTTTATCAAAAAAACTTTAATTTATAGAACTTGCAGAGATCGTTTACAATGGCTTCCGGTATTGCAAATTTACTATGTTAGTCTTGTAAACTATAGTAAAATTTGCAAAGCTGTAAATTTAGTTTTTTTTTTATAAAATTCTATACAAATTATAGTATTGATCGCATTTTACAACTCGGAAGGATTCCATCAGGGTCCAGGAATCATATGAGGATGTTGTGCTCCTTTATTATGGATAGAGGTGAATTACTTCTCTCTAATAAACATTCGGTTGTTTAGCGACAGAAAGGTTTTATAAAAAGGAAATTTAGGAACTTTATATCAATCGTTCTTTTATGAGAGAGAGAGAGCTTACTTACGTACGTAGGAAAGCAAGAGAGCTTTTTGCCAATAAACAATTTAGGAAGAACGATTTGGACAGAAGTTTTTAAGTAATAGTCTCCTCTATTATAAAGGAGAGATGTGAATTACTCCTCTCTAATAAACATTCGGTTGTTTAGCGACAGATTAAAGGTTTTATAAAAAGGAAATTAAGAAACTTTATCTCACTCGTTCTTTTTTGAGAGAGAGAGAGAGAGCTTACTTGCGTACGTAGAAAAGCAAGAGAGCTTTTTGCCGATAAACGATTTAGGAACTTTGGACAGAAGTTTTTAAGTAATAGTCTACGGTATTTGTACAATATTTTACCTTTTAAATATTATCTATGCCAAAAAGATTTAAGAGATTTCAAAAAGAAATCTTTTAAAAAGTTTCATAAAACTTAACCCAGCTCAGTTTTTTTATCACCTTTTCATACCCTTAAGAAACTCATTAAAAGAACATTTAATATTTCAATAACATTAACATAAAGACAAACAAACTTAACCAATGAAATGTAGCCACCGTTTAACAACGAAAAAAAAATTTATTATGTGACCATTTTCGGCAGTAATCATAAATAAGTTAAACTTGCAACTTTTCTACAACAAACTTTATGACTTTTTGACTTTATTTGTCATCAAAAACCAAAAATGAATAATGAGTTAAATGGTAGGAAAGGAGAAAAACAGAAATATTAATGTAACAACTACCTTTAACCAAACAAAAAACATAGAGAAAAAAGGGCGGCTGAAAACTCACCCTAATAGGGAAAACTTTTAACAAAACAAAATCATGAAAAATAGTTTTTTAACAACAAACCCTAAACACGTTGAATTTTTATGCTTCACATAGATAAACAACAAGATATTTCGGGACAGTTGGCTTTACAAATCTACGAAATATGATGATTATTTTATACAAATGTATAAAAGTAGAAATATGTTATATTCTTACAAATTTGAAAAATTCGAAAAAAAGTTTTCCACAACCCCCCACTGGTTGGTGTGGAAATACTTAATAAGCCCACTTAATAACCGCTCAGACATTTGTCAGGTAAGACAGGCGTGAGACATTGCATTGTATTTTACACATTTATTTCCATATATTTTAACAAATTTAGTTTTTTTTTTTTTGCTTTGGCTGACACTTTGAAACTGGCAAATGTTAACAAGCCTATACCTAGGTGGTACTGTTTTCTTCTCACTTTTCTTTGCTTGATGATTAATGATCTTGTTTTGTTAATGGATGAAGGTTGGAAAGGTTGTACGTTTAAATATGCAGGATTATAACTGCATGCAGACATCCAGACATTGTATTTAGTTCTTAACCCATCCCTTGTGTGAAATAAATTTAATAAATTGCTGAATATTAAGTTTGTTAGAATAATAAAGTTTAGAATTTAACTGGATATTGAAATGATTAATTCGTTTACAAAATGGGTTAAATTTGAAACTTATTTTTGGCAATTTAGTTTGAATATCAAATGATTTTCGATATTTTAATCAATTGAACTTTAGGAAATACTAGGACAATGTATTTCATAAGGTGAACAGTGCACAGTGGGGTGAATGTTGAATAAATTAGCATATACATTTTTATACCCTACACCACTTTAGTGGGAAGGGTATATTGGGTTTGTGCTGATGTTTGTAACATACAAAAATATTTGTCCTATACCCACCTTAAAGTATAACAATCGGCTTAGAATCGTTTTCTGAGTCGATTAAGCTATGTCCGTCTGTCCGTCCGACTGGCTGGCTGTCAATGTAAACCTTATGCGCAAGGTACAGATCGCAGTTTTCAAGATAATTGGATGAAATTTGGCACACACCCTTTTTTCCAAGGACGAAGCCTATTAAAATGGTTAAAATCGGTCCATTATTTCAGCCCCCATACAACAGAACCCCCGAAAAGGGCTTCTGAGCTCATAATTATGTTAAATATACCTGTATATTGATAAAAACCGGCAAAACTAAGTTTTACACAAGCCTTGATGACCTTGCCAAATTTCATAGAGATCGGGCCTCGTTTGACCCTAGCTCCCATACAAAAAAATTACTTGAATGTCCAAAATTAACTTATAAACACAAATATCGCGATGAAATTCAGCACAATAAAATATTATGTAAATAAAAATATATTTACAAAATTTTATCGGGCTTGGTCCATATTTGCCCCTAGCCCTCTTTAATTAGTTTTTCATCCATAAATTGCTTAAATGTATCGGAACAAGGTAATAGAAGATAAATGTTTTATTATGAAAAATAAGTCACATTTAATATTCATAACTGGTGTCGGGTATTATATGGTCGGTCACGCCCGACTCTACTTTCTAACTTGTTTAATTTCTAAATGGTTAGTCTATTTTCTATTAAATTTTACATGCCTAGAGAGGAAATTATATAATATTTTGGATTTAGACCTCATTAACTCTCTCAGAGCGGGTCCGGATATCCCCAAATAACGTTACAACGAAAAACGATTGCAATATTTTCTGTAGATTTAGCTTAGAAATTGGAGTGGAAAAATTAAAATTTTTTTGTTGGTGATATCAAAAGTATAAAAATATTTTCTTTGTCACGCCTACAAATACCGCCCCTTTAATTTGTTTGCATATTATGTCGCCATTTAAGGCCCGATCGTAACAAATCGCATATTGCTGTTTAAGTTTTCACAGCAGCTATTCAATCAATTGATCGAGAGACTAACACCAATATCAATAATTTGACTCAGCAGGTATTCCTTAAGATTACCCAAATAACGGCAACTCGAAAATATGAAAAACTAAAAACGATTGTAATATTTTCTGTAGAGTTAGCTTATACACTAGAGTGATAAAATTAAAACTATTTGCTGGTTATGTCAAAAGTATAAAAATATTTTCCTTGCCACACCTACAAATACCGCCCCTTTAATTTGTTTGTATGTTATGTCGCCATTTAAAGTCCGATTGTAACAATCGGCAGCAGCTATTCAATCTATTGATCGACAGACTAACCCCAATATCAATAATTTGACTCAGCAGGTGTTCCTTAAGATTACCCAAATAACGACAACTCGAAAATATGAAAAACTAAAAACGATTGTAATATTTTCTGTAGAGTTAGCTTATACACTAGAGTGGTAAAATTAAAAGTATTTGCTGGTGATGTCAAACGTATTAAAAGAGTTTATTTGCCACGCCTACAAATACCGCCCCTTTTATTTGTTTATATATTATATCGCCATTTAAACTCCGATTGTAACAAATCGCATATTGCTGTTTAAGTTTTCACAGCAGCTATACTATCAGTTGATCGACAGACTAAACAATATCAATAATTTAACTCTGCAGTTGCTGCTTAAAAGTAATTACTTTGCTCTCTAAACATTAGTAAGGATCTACTATAGTGTGGTTTATAAAAATTTAAATTCTTCCCCTTAATATTTTCACATTTACAAACTTTATTATTATTATTCACACAATTGACTCTCATATATGTATGTATACTTTCAAATTGTTCAGACATTGACCTTTTGATACTAAAGACAAATAGCTTTTGTCCTCTATCAGACCAATTTATATATTTTATTTGCTATAAAGAAAATTCACTTTATTTATTAAGAGCAGAATATTATTACAACGTACATCATCAG